CTGGTTCTTTGAGAAACTCAACAAGACAGATAAACCCTTAGCCAGACTAACCAGAGAGCACAGAGATAGCATCCAAATTAACAAAATCAGAAATGAAAGGGGAGATATAACAACAGAAACTGAGGAAATTCAAAAAATTATCAGATGCTACTATAAAACACTATACTCAACAAAACTGGAAAATCTGGAAGATATGAACAATTTTCTAGACAGATAACAAATACTAAAGTTAAATCAGGATCAGATAAACCATCTAAACATTCCTATAACTTTTAAAGAAATACAAGCAGTCAATAAAAGTCTCCCAACCAGAAAAAAAAAAAAGTCCAGATCCAGATGGATTTAGTGCAGAATTCTATCAGACCTTCAAAGAAGACCTAATATCGATACACTTTCTTAGAAGAAATAAGAAAATACTCATGGGAGCAGATATAGTGACAAAGAATGGGACAGAAATGGAAGGAGGCTGCTCCATCTGGGTATCCTACCCATGTGTAGTCACCAAAGGCAGACACTGATGTGGCTGCCAGGAAGTGCATGCTGACAGGAGCCTGATACAGCTGTCTCCTCAGAGGTCTGCCAGAGCCTGACATATACAGAGTTGGATGCTCGCAGCTAATCATTGAAATGATCATGGGGTTCCTAATCGAGGAGTGAGAGAGAAGGCTGAAGGAGCTGAAGGGATTTGCAGCCCCATGGGGAGAGCAACAATACCAACCAACCAGAGCTTCCAGGACTTAAACCACCAGCCTGGGAGCACACAGGGAGGGACCCATGGCTCCAGCTGTATATGTAGGGGAGGATGACAGTGTCAAGCATAGGTGGGAGAGGAAGTCCTTGGTCCCATGAAGGCTGGATGCCCCAGTGTGTGGGAATTTGAGGGTGGGGAGGGATGAGGTGGTGGGGGGGGGGGGCCATGCCCTCATAGACGCGGGGGGAGGGAGATTCGATAGTGGTTTCTGGGGGGGGGGTGGAAATGGGGAAAGAGGATAAATGTAAATAAAATATCCAATAAAAAATTAACAAAAAAAAAACCCTAAATATGGAACTAACATATGGCCGAACTCTGCTTCTCCTATAAATATATACAAATGATTAAGTGCTGCTACAGAGATACTTATGAGTGTCTGATGCACTATTCACATTAACAAGAAAACAGAACCAAACTACATGTCCATAAAAGATGACAGGATAATGAAGATGTGATGCATATACACAACTAAATTATATTGAACCATAAAGAAAAATAAAACCATGACATACACAGAAAAAAATATATAGAAACAGAAGGTGGAGTTTAACAGATTACTAACAGAAGGAACACTACCCAATTCATTCTATGAAGCTACAATTACTCTGATACCTAAACCATGCAAAGACCCAACAAAGAAAGAGAACGTGAGACCAATTTCTCTTATGAATATTGATGCAAAAATACTCAATGAAATTCTTGCAAACCAAATCCAAGAACACATCAAAACAACCATTCACCACGATCAAGAAGGCTTCATCCCAGGGATGTAGGGATGGTTCAATATATAAAAACCCATCAATGTAATCCACTATATAAACAAACTCAAAAAAAAGAACCAAACAATCATTTCATTTGATGCTGACAACCCATTTGACAAAATTCAACATTCCTTCATGTTAAAAGTCTTGGAAAGATCAGGAATTCAAGGCCCATACCTAAACATAGTAAAAGCAATATATAGCAAACCAGTAGCCAATATCAACCTAAATGGAGAGAAACTTGAAGCAATCCCACTAAAATCAGGAACTAGACAAGGCTGCCCACTCTCTCCCTATCCTTTCAATATAGTACTTGAAGTTCTAGCCAGAGCAATCAGACAACAAAAGGAGGTCAAAGGGATACAAATTGGAAAGAAAGAAGTCAAATTTTCACTATTTGCAGATGATATTATAGTATACTTAAGTGACCCCAAAAGTTCCTCGAGGGAACTCCTAAACCTCATAAATAACTTCAGCAAAGTGGCTTGATCTAAAATTAACTCCAACAAATCAGTAGCCTTCCTCTACTCAAAGAATAAATGGCTTGAGAAAGAAATGAGAGAAACAAGGCCCTTCACAATAATCACAAACAATATAAAATAACCAAGGAACTCTAACCAAACAAGTGAAAGATCTGTACGACAAGATCTTCAAGACTCTGAAGAAAGAAACTGAAGAAAACTTCAGAAGATGGAAAGATCTCCGATGCTCATGGACTGGCAGGACTAATAATATAGTAAAAATGGCCATTTTACTGAAAGCAATCTACAGATTCAATGCAATCCCCATCAAAATTCCAACTCAATTCTTCATAGAGATAGAAAGAGCAATTCTCAAATGCATTTGGAATATCAAAAAACCCAGAAGAGCAGAAACTACACTCAACAATAAAATAACTTCTAGGGGAATCACCATCCCTGACCTCAAGCTGTCCTACAGAGCAATAGTGATAAAAAGTGTATGGTATTAGTACAGTGACAGGCAGGTAGATCAGTAGAGTAGAATTGAAGATTCAGAAATAAACACACACACCTATGGTCACTTGATTTTTGATAAAGAAGTTAAAACCATCCAGTGGACAAAAGACAGCGTTTTCAACCAATGGTGCTGGTTCAACTGGAGGTCAACATGTAGCACGCCTTTAATCCCAGCACTTGGGAGGCAGAGGCAGGCGGATTTCTGAGTTCGAGGCTAGCCTGGTCTACAGAGTGAGTTCCAGGACAGCCAGGGCTACACAGAGAAACCCTGTCTCGAAAAAACCAAAAAAAAAAAAAAAAAAAAAAAAAAAAAAAAAAAAAAAAAGAATGCAAATTGATACATACTTATCTCCCTGTACAAAGCTCAAGTCCAAGTGGATCAAGAACCTCCACATAAAATCAGATATGGTGAATCTAATAGAAGAGAAAGTGGGGGAAAGCCTGGAACACATGGGCACAGGGAAAGGTTTCCTGAAAAGAACACCAATGGCTTATGCTCTAAGAATAAGATTTGACAAATGGGACCTCATAAATTGCAAAGCTTCTGTAAGGCAAAGGACACTGTCAATAGGACAAAACAGCAACCAACAGACTGGGGAAAGATCTTTACCAATCCTACAATTAATAGAGGGCTAATATCCACTATATACAAAGATCTCAAGAAGTTAGACTCTAGAAAACCAAATAACCCTTTTTAAAATAGGGAACAGAGCTAAACAGAGAATTCTCAACTGAGGAAACTCAAATGGTGGAGACGTACCTAAAGAAATGTGCAACATCCTTAGTCATCAGGGAAATGCAAATTAAAACAACCCTGAGATTCCACCTCACACCAGTCAGAATGCCTAAGTTCAAAAGCTCAGGTGACAGCAGATGCTGGTGAGGATGTGGAGAAAGAGGAACACTCCTTCATTGCTGGTGGGATTGCAAGCTGGTACAACCAACCACTTGGAAATCAGTCTGGCTGTTCATCAGAAAATTGGACATAGTACTATGTGAGGACCCAGCTATACCACTCCTGGGCATAAACCCAGAAGATGCTCCAACATGTAATAAGGACACATGCTCCATCATGTTCATAGCAGCCATATTTATAATAGACAGAACCTGGAAACAACCCAGATGTCTCTCAACAGAGGAATGGATACAGAAAATGTGGTACATTTACACAATGGAATATTACTCAACTATTAAAAACAATAATTTCATGAAATTCACAGGTAAATGGATGGAACTAGAAAACATCATCCTGAGTGAGGTATCCCAGTCACAAAAGAACACGAATGGTATGCACTCACTGATACCTGAATATTAGCCCAAAAGTTCAGAATACCCCAG